TATGGCTATATTTAAGTATGCATTCCATTCCATATCCACTATCTCCCCTGTCATTTATAATTTCTGTACTGTCGGTTCTGTCGCTCAGCTACAACTATAGTCTTCTTGAATTTTTTCGCAGATTTATGGATTACATTGAACGACAAGCAGAAGAATCAGAAGGCGAAGAATCATCGTCATCTACTTCGTCGACGGAGCAAGACCAGCCGAAAGCCAAGAAGAGGAAAATACAAAAAGAGAAGAAAAAGAAAAGCAAACGTGTTGTTGAAAGCGAGTAGGTTATTTTTGTTTCTGTACCACTTTGAGTTTTGAAAGACATGTGAATATGCTACTCTACCTGTAATCTCAATCATTCCAAGCATACTTTTATCTCGACTTTACCTGTGACTGCCCCAATTTGATTACTACACTGCAGCAGTCTTGAAAACTTACATTTTTAAAAAACTTTGTGTTTTCAAAGAAGTATTTTTCTTTTTGCGACACGCATCTTTGATTGCAAGGATAGCTGGAATTTAACTATTTAAATTTTCTAGCGACGAAGAAGAAGAGGAGGACGATGATGAGCAAGGTGCTGAAGAGATGAAAGGATTTATCGCAGATGAAGAGGAAGATGAGGTCTCAGTTATTATCTTAACTAACATCTGTGGAAAATTTGAATTCTCAGGAAGATGCTGATGATGACAAATCTGAAAAGTCAGAAAAATTGGAAGATGAGGAAGATGAACTAGATGACGACGACATCGATTTGATACAAGTAAGAAGCAGTAGTAGTTTTCTACTTTGCAGGTGAATAATTTATGAATTTAGGAAAATCTTGGTAATAGAAAAGAAAAAAAGCAGCGTATTATTCAACCAGAAGATTCTGATGAAGACGTTGATGACAGAACGGCCATACAAAAGAAACTGTTTGGCGAGGTTTGCTATTAAAAAGGTCACTATATTCTGTTGTAGTTGAATTACAGTGATTATCAGGGTGATGATGGCGAAGGTCCTTCAAGTTTGCGCGAAGGGGACCTCAGCGGGGACGAATCCGATAGGGAGCGATATTCAGATTCAGAGCAAAGCGGTATCTCACTTCACATATTACTTATTGGTATAATCAAATGACCATCTCAGTTTGAAAGTGTTCTATCTCCTTTTTCTCGTGTTAGTCTCTCATTTCATGAACCTCTTGAATATCTTACGTTGTATTACATAATCCCTATGTATAATCTTTTTTTCAACAAAACGCTTATATGACATACCTAACTTCCAGAGGATAATTTCATTGTTAACGAAGATGGTGGGCGACATACGCATCGGCATCACAGGCGAAGGGATGGAAACATGCCTGAGGGGTAAGTGAAAATCCTTTGGAACATGGCACGAAACCACAGTGATATCCTACAACATTTTAATACAAATATGCGTCAATTCCAGCGCCTTGGATGAAGCGCGTGACGTCTTTGGTGTTGAAGACTTTAATTTTGATGAATTTTACGACGAAGATGAAGAACCCGTTGATGAAGATGATGAAGACCAAGAGGATCTCATGGACGATGAGGGTGAAGGCGAGGGAAGGGTGAGCATTTGTAAAGATTTTGCTTCTATCTTTTTCACACAGTAAATTCAGGTACGACGTGTCCGAGCAAAAGAGAAAACAAGTACACTTTTGGATGCAATGGAACCATCAGAGCTTGAAAGAGGCTTTATGGCTCCGGCCGACAAAAAAATCCAGCTTGAAGATAAACCAGAAAGGTAGCATAACGATGTCTCACTGTCTATGGTCTTCCTTTTTCTTGTTTAGATTTCAACTCCGTAAATCTCCAGTCACGGAAGCCGATGATATTGAATTAGAGCAGGAATCTAAATGGATTTATTATCATGCTTTTTGCTCAACGTCCATTTCTACACAAGTACAGCATTCT